GACAACACCTACTTGACCTCACAGAACAGGAGCGATGCCGGGGTCAGAATCACGAGGATCGGGCTGTTCGTCAACCTGGGCATGGCCCTCGGCAAGGGAATAGGAGGCGTCATGTTCCATTCGCAGGCGCTCGTGGCAGACGGCTTTCACGCCCTGACCGATCTTGTCTCCGACTTCATGACCCTCGCCACGATTTCCTGGTCACTCAAGCCAGCCACCGATCGGTTTCCCAGCGGATACGGCAAGATTGAGAGCTTGGGTGCGTTGGGCGTCAGTGGCCTATTGCTCTTTGGTGGTATAGGGATTGGCTTAAACGGGGTGGACGCTCTTTACACGCAGTTCTTCCTCGAGGCTGCTGCACATGCGCATGACCATGCTGAGCACGCACATGGTGGACTCTTTTCGTTCCTCGGACACACTCACAGCCATGGACACACGTTGCCGGACCTCAATGCTGCGTGGCTCGCAGCGGGCTCTATCGTGGTCAAGGAGTGGTTATATCGAGCTAGTAGGCCGTTTTTCTGCTTGTAACCATCTGGCATCCTGGTCGCTAACCTTATCTGCAGCTATGAAGATCGCGCGAGAACGAAAATCCTCGGTCCTGGCCTCCAATGCCGTCCACCACCGTATCGACTCACTCACCAGCATCGTGGCGCTTGCGACCATTGGTGGTGCGCACGTCTTTGCAGATGCTTCATGGTTAGACCCCGTCGGCGGGCTTCTCATCTCTGCCATGGTCATCAGGGCGGGCTGGGGCAACACCAAAGCAGCACTACTCGAGCTCGCTGATGTCACAGTGGACAGCGAGGTCAAGTCCAACGTCCGAAGAGCTGCTACAAGAGCGCTGAAGGGCGATCGCGCAACGGGACTAGAACCTGCTCAGTACGGCGAGGAGACCGAGGTCCGAGATATCCAGGGCGTCAAGTCTGGCCAGAACTATCTAATGGACATTGAACTCGCAGTCCCCAAGGACTTTACGGTACAGCAAATGGAATCGATCGAAGATGCAGTCCGTCAGCGGTGTGGCAACAAGGTTCGGGGCGTGAGAAGAGTTCGTGTCAAGTTTGTCCAGCTCGACGATACGAATGCCACCCTGGGCAGTGATTTTATTGCAGCCGACGTCAGTCCTCGAAGCAGTCCGGAACCCGAAGACGAGCATGACCACGGCCATCATCACGAACAGGAACATGACCATTCTCATACTCACGGGCAGTCAAATGGACACGTTGCAGCCTCGGGTACCAAAAAGAAGGAGGCTTAAATTCCCCTGCCAACTGTGGGCAGCCTGTCCAGTTCGGCGCAAACCACAGTTCGCCGATCGATTTCAGGCTGATATCATCATGCCAAGATGACCACCGGAGTATCCCTCCCCCTCATGACGGACGCGCCGTTACTCCACCTGCTTTCATCACTCGGAAAATATTGTTGATGAAAGAGTCGAGCTCTTCTTCGCTCGACTGGTACTAGACATATACTATTGTCGTGTTATATGGTCTATACCTAGAACCTTGTTGCGCTCGGAATTCTAACCATGACGTCCTCCGGACCTCTTTATCTGGGCTTCGACCTGTCCACCCAACAGTTAAAGGGGCTCGTCGTGGACTCGAGTCTTAAAAAGATTCACGAGGCCAAATTTGATTTTGATGCGGACAGCAAAGGCTTCAATGTCACGAAAGGTGTCCTTGTCAATGAAGCAGAACATGAAGTCTTCGCACCGGTGGCAATGTGGCTACAGGCCATCGACACGGTCCTGGCTAGATTAAAGGACGATGGCCTCGATTTCAGTCGTGTCAAGGGGATTAGTGGCTCTGGGATGCAGCATGGAAGTGTTTTCTGGAACGCCGATGCCGAACAATTACTGTCACAGTTAGATTCCTCGAGGACGCTGGAATCACAACTTGACCGAGCATTTGCCCATCCATTCAGCCCCAATTGGCAGGATGCGAGCACGCAGAAAGAATGCGACGAATTTGATGCCATCCTGGGCAATGAGGCGCAACTGGCGAACGTCACCGGAAGTAAGGCCCATCACCGCTTCACAGGACCCCAGATCCTACGGTTTCAACGCAAGTACCCGGACAAGTACATCAAGACCCACCGGATCACCCTTGTTTCATCCTGGATCGCTACGATCCTGCTGGGGAAGTTTGCGCCGTTCGATATCTCGGATGTCTGCGGCATGAATCTCTGGGACATCAAAGCAGGCAATTGGCATCAGAAACTCCTCGAACTTACAGCCGGCCCGTCAGGAGTGGAAGCACTGAAGAAGAAACTGGGCGATGTGCCTGAAGACGGTGGTATTCATCTCGGGACCATTTCTCAATACTTTGTCAAGCGACATGGATTCTCCAACGACTGCACCATCATCGCTTCTACAGGCGATAACCCTTCGACGATCCTGGCCTTGCCACTGCGGGACAACGACGCCATGGTCAGCTTGGGCACCTCGACAACCTTTCTCATGTCCACGAGCCAGTACAAGCCCGACCCGGCCACTCATTTTTTCAACCACCCTACGACGCCGGGATTATACATGTTCATGCTGTGCTATAAGAACGGCGGTCTTGCCCGAGAAAAGGTCCGAGATGCTATCAACGACAAATTGGGCAAGGAGAAGAACTCGTGGCAAGAATTCGACAACCATCTGCTGGAGACTCCCCCTCTTGCACAATCGGACGACAAGGATCCAATGCATTTGGGCCTGTACTTTCCTCGACCTGAAATCATCCCCAACCTGCCCGTGGGAGAGTGGCATTTCTCATATAACGCATCAACCGATGACCTCCAGCCCGAGCAATCTGTCCCACAGCCTCCCGAACAGGACGCGCGGGTTATCGTCGAGTCCCAATTCCTCTCTCTCCGCCTTCGCTCTAGAGAACTCGTGTCCAGCCCGGCGAGTGGTCTCCCAGCCCAGCCGCGCCGAATCTACCTCGTCGGCGGCGGTTCCCGCAACAAAGCCATCGCCAAGGTTGCGGGGCAAGTCCTCGGCGGCTCGGAGGGTGTCTTCAAACTGGACGTCGGTGAGAATGCGTGCGCCCTGGGGGCCGCGTACAAAGCCGTGTGGGCCGTCGAGAGGCACAAGGGCGAGACGTTCGAGGAACTGATCGGCAAGAGGTGGAGGGAAGAGGAGTTTGTCGAGAAGATCGCCGACGGGTATAACGAGGAGGTGTGGCATAGGTACGCGCGGGCACTTCAAGGGTTTGAGGCGATGGAGTTGCGCCTCCTGGCCGAGCATGACAGGAAGTAGAAATTGACAGTACCACAGCACCACAGTACTAGACTATCTGTACTAGAAGATGAGAGACAGTACTAGACTATCTGTACTAGAAGACGAGAGGGTGTGCGTGATGTATAGGTAGTGAAAAGCAATACGTGGGGGGGGGCCCTTGTATGCGATCAATTGTCTTCCTACAGTACATAGGACTCCTAAGCCCCGTTCCTTTCGCAGCCGACTCCCTTTCCCACTCGATTCCCCAACTGAATGTGCTCATGTGATGGCTAGTATTGGATTGGAATTTCCTGCCTTCACTTACATAGTCTGTTTGGTACCGCTGCGTGCGTGTGTCTCTACCATGATACGATACCACGTACGGGCGTGGTGAGGATGGCACGAGGTTTGACCTGATCCGAGCATCATTGGCCGCGGTTCTTCTATGGATCTGTGATGTGCGCTGGATCGAGGTGCGGGCTGAAGACGTGCATGGAAGATTGCTTTGGTGATTCGGCGTATCGCTGATGTTCGATATGAGTGCTCCTTCTTTGCGGTACATTTCCAGCGCGCGGTCTGTCCGTCAGATTATAGATCACTCGCACCCCTGCCCCTATCCATGGCTCGCAAGAGTCAACCGTCCAAAGCGCCTTGTCAAGCATTATAATGAGCCCCCGGTTCCTGTGCTCATCTGAAGAACCGGCCAACCATATTACTCGCAAGACTCCTGGCCAGTCCGGAGCCTGACAGGGCCGAGCCCGCGAAACTCGACGCCTGACTGAACTTGTCGCAGCGTGAAAATGCAACGGTGTTTGTGATGGTAAGGACTAAGGCGATGACTGGTCACCTCGTCAGCAACGATGCGAAAAAGCGACGAGGGTTTGCCCCCTATGTTACTGAATGTACTCACCAACCGTGACGAGCCAGATCAAATTCTGTAACCTTACAATCGCCAGAACGGCCAGCCCCACCCACAGTGCCGGCACAATATACATGCTCAACCAGAAGAATCGCTTGTCGGTCTTGTTCTCGACCCAACCGCCTTGATTTTCCTGCGAGGTGCGGGATTCAAACACCCAGTGGCTGTCGCCGGTCGAGGTGTTGACTTCATTCCACCAGCGCAGACCGACCAGGCGGCGACCGGCGATGTTCTTGAGGTAGTAGAAGTCGAGGGAGAGGAGCAGCAAAGTCAAGATGAAGACGAGGACGAAGTTGCGGATGAAGAGGACGCCAAAGAGGTACATGAGAAGGCTCCCTAGAGTACGGTCAGCAGAAGGACATGGGAGAAGTAAATGCCTGTGAGCTTCGCCTGAGTAGCGACGGACGAGGACCCCGTTGCCATACCTATTCGGAAACCCAGATACGTGAGCAGTGTGATCGGGTGGGCGCTGAGCCGCCAGTTGAGAGAGCCGGGCTCGTCTGCCATGTTGGGCTAGGATTTCAGTCGTGTGTCCTGGTCTATCAAAGTTACCGCTGCATCGTCGAGTTTCATGGACTATCGCCGACGACGTCTACTGTACTCGCGCGCGAGAGAGACAGCGCGAAGAGGCTGCCGCCACTGTGAGACCAGAGTTGCTGCTTCCTCATTGGCCAACGTCCGCACTTCGGGTAACCTTCCCCTCATCGCGCCACCACAATATCACTACAACGACAGCAGGATGCCACGGACGCTGCTCGGAGCTCGAACCACGAACCACATTCACCTGCGGTACCCAAGGTCCAGCTTCCAGGCCGACAGACACATGGGTTTCGCCTGAGCACGGATGGCTTCATTCACCGCAGACAACTGATAATGTCCCCGACCGTTGCCCCAAGATCGCGTCTTCCTCCACGACCCGCCGAACGGGATGTCCGGAGGCCAGCCCAAGTCCCTCCATTGTCGCAAGGTGCACCGACTCGCAATATTCGTCCGTTGATCTACGCCATTGGAATTGCCGGCATAGTCGGTTCGGGGGCATTGATCGGCGCATATCTAAAGACGGGCCAGCAACAGAATGCAGCAAGGAAGGTAAGGTCATGTTTCATACCATACAACCCACCCTACCTACCGTACTAGAAATCTCTCACAATTTATCCTCAACGCGCCTCCTTTTCAGCATCATCATTGCATGGAACTGCCATGCTGACAATTTTTCGTCGAGCAAACAGCAAGCCCAGCGCCTTACCACTGGGCCGCAAACCCACAATAATCCCCAAGACGCCCAGATAGGCGCAAAGATAAGCGCAACTGCTCCGGGAGAACAAGAATACGACCAACACTTGGACATCCTGCAGACGAAGCGTGCACAGCTTATCGCTCAGAAAGTCGGCTTGGAGACGAAGCTGCGGGACTTCCGCCTGAGCCAGCAGAGGAAGGCCGACGAGGAGAGGCAGATGAAGGAGTTCGGGTTGAAGAGATGAGACCAGATGCTGAGATTCAGCGATGCCGATTTCGTCGTGTGATTGAACCACATCCGCCGGGACCGTTCCTCATCGCGGCCTTCTCTGGAGGCCAGTCGGGAAGCACCTTGGCAACTTCACCACCAAGCGTCGATCAGCTCCGGGTCTGGCCACCAAAGGACGCTTTGGAGCTTCACCGCTTGGAGGAGTATCATGGCATGCATCAAGAGTGCCACTGTTGGTGGCGGCCCGATTGACAGTCGGCTTGTATGTCAGTCGTGGCGTCAATGAGAACGCCAATAAGTCCTCAGAGCCCCTTGGGCCCACGGCTTGGACAGGTGCAACGACATCCAGGAGAGAGTCCATCAAAGCGTTGCACCCCTTTTCGTCCTGAAGTTGAACAGATGCTATGGCCGCCATGGAAGACATCTGCCGGTGACTCGGGAAGCCTTTGGCCCACCTCCTGGTTTGATCGTCAGCTGGGGCGGGGTTCGATCACAATAGATTGCCCGATATGATGCTGTCGTGCTATTGGAAGGTCGGCGTCAAGATCGAGGTGCTCCCGCCGACGATGAGCGCTATCTTGTGATCTCTGTGGGACTGAGCTTCGCCGTCTTCACCCAACAGCTCTGCGGGTTGCATGCAGTGGTATAGGGGAGCGCGGTTGAAATTCCGGTTTTTTGCTCTGCTCACTCGAGGAGGAAGATACCTCGGGGTGTGAGGTGGAAATCCTGCAGCTTCTGCAGTGGGGGAGGCAGAAGCCCTTCTTCGCAGCGAGGGCAGAGTTCCGCATCAAGCCTGGGCCTTCTCGGTTGTCAAAGTCCATGCAACATACCTCCTTGAAAGCCTTACGACGAAACATTGCTTGGTCCGTTGATCTGTTCGTGATCGACTGCTCGACTGCTCGACAGGTCAAACAGCACAGAACAATTTGAGTTGCAGAGCAGCTACACATGGCGGGCTGCGAAATATTCTTCTTGCGACGGCTTTCTCCAATCGATCTACCAACTCCCCTATCTGTACAGGTACTGGCCTTGTCAGACCCGCCGTGTCGACTTCGATCGGAACGTCTCGGTCGGTACTAGGTCCATTGACTAAGCTTGCCAGGCTGTTATTCACACCAGATCGATTTACACGGAATGGTGTGGCTCTGAGTATCAGAGCAGCAAGGAAGTTTTGAGGAATTGGACAGCGAAGGAGCTGGCGGACTCTGACGATGAATCTAGGGCATGAAATCTGGCAGGGGACCTATGCAGACTGATCGGACCACTGACAATGGGCCCCTCAAGTCCCACGCTTTCTGTAGAAAGTCTAATAGATGGATAGTCACAGAAAAAAATGCAAGTAGAAGACCTCGATCAAACACAGACATGGAATGGTGCTACTCTCTGGTCGGTTGCGTGAGCCTCCTCGAAAACCGCCTTGATTATTGGCTGCTCGACTGCTACTCACGGCCATCGGCAGCTGTAACTACTACGACTACTACTACTACGTAGTCTTCCTGGACAGGCTGGCGTCCACATCCACATACATCTGCCACGGCCTCGTCGCGTACGAACATTGCGAGGCTTGACTAGACGTCGCTTTTGTTCCCCATTTCCCCCTTCCTTATTAGGTCCTCCAGTAATTGCAGTCATCACAGTAATTATGTATGGGTGCTGCCCTTGGATGATGCATGGGTTGTTCGCATCACCGGACAGTTATTCCTGACCTCGTCGACCCTCCCTGTCCCTGCCCTTGACACTTTGACACTAGACACTGTTTGCCCCTTCACGCAGGGAGTCAAGTACGGAGTACTCCGTACAGCACATAGCACACAGCACATGGAACAAAAGTCGGCCGACGTAGAACAACGTTAGAAGCAAGAAAACACGGCTCAAACAAACGTTTCCAACACATTCAGACCTGGCACACCTGGAGACTTTGTGATCGCATTCAACCCGCCACTCGGCGCACGCGCGCGCAAGCAAGATACGCAGCTACTGTCTGCGCGCCTCGAGTACAGTTATGTGGGCTTGTCCCGTTTGATGTCCAACGACCCAGGAACAAAAACTTTGGGGGCCTTTTTTTCTTCTGCATAGATACCATGCAAGAAAAAGTTAGAGAGACCGAAAGAACCCGCGGACACACACATATCTCACAAGCTGCACCAAAAAAAAAACTCCAGCGTCCGCAAAACCCAACCTGCCCCCCCTACCTTCCCTTGCCTTTTGCCCCAGTTCATGTGTCGTTTACCTTTGACCGGCCGGCCTCTCTGGCCCCCGTCCCCTTGCACCCCGGGAAAATGCTGCTTCGGAGCTTGTCGGAATCTTCGCTCCAGAGGTTCTCAACACGCGAGAAAGTACCTTCCGCATCCGATGGACCCAAATTCCACGCGTCGCTACTTCTTGGAAGAGGGTCCAAAGTCTGCTTCGACGGTCTTCTGCGCGCCTCGCTGCTTCTCAACCTTGAATTGTGCGACGATGGCGATGTGGTCACTGGGGAAGTGGAAGTTCGGGAAGCCCGGGACGCGCTTGAGATATTCGGGGTCGATGGCGCCCAGGAGACCAACCACACGTAGGGAGGTATTCGAGTACCAAATGTAGTCCAGCACGTCGACAAAGTTGGGCGTGTAGTTGGTGAAGGGCATCTCCCCCTCGATGGCGGCATAGGACGACTTGAGCGCGAACTGGTGGGACATGCCCGCACGTGAGAAGGCGCCGTAGTCTCTACCGTCCAAATCAGAGTGCTCAGCGGTCAGACCTTTCTTGGTGAACAGATCGTATACCGCTGATCCCGCGCCGGAGTTGAAGTCGCCGCAAATAATCATCGGGATCTGAGGACCTGTAGAATAGGACAACGACGGTCCAGGCTCGGGCAAGGGATCGTCCTCCGAGTCCGAGAAGCGGAAGGCTTGTTTGTTTGTCGCCGGAGGCATCTTGGCATATCGATCCGTCAGTTTCGACAGCTCTTCCATCAGAACCGCGGCTTGAATCAACTTCACGTCCTTGAATGCGGGATCCCAGTAAATGTGAGCATTGACCACCACCACTCGAGACCCAGTCACACGATTCTCCAAGAAGACGACGGTTGCAATGTCATCTCTCTGCCACACTCGATTGAGCATGTCTGCCGAGGCCTTTGCGCCTGGACGCTCCACCGCCTTGCGTCCAAGAACAAGATGCTGAGTGTCGAGCAAGACGTATTTCTTGTCTTTCCAGAAGGTGCCACACCCGTCAACATATTTGGCGGCATCCCCGAGTGTCTCAGCCCGACTCTTCTGAGCGTAGTAACCTTTGTAGCCGGAGATGGACAATTCCCCGCGGAAGAAGTCGTCGTAACTGTTTCGATCCAATTCTTGCAGACAGACTATATCCGCATTCATCTCTCGAATCTCCTCCAGGATCAAGGTCTTGCGGAAGCCCCAAGTCAAGACCCGTTCGGGGACATAGCCGTACTGCTGCTGTGTCGCATAACGGTCGCACAGGATGTTGTAGTTCAATGCTTTGATGGTGTCCTGATTCGGGTCGTCCTCGTCGATCTCTTCTAGCTGGTGCCATTCTCGTTCTCGCGGAGGCGGAGGTTCTGGAGAAAGGGTCAGCTAACCGATAGCACGAGTGTGATGGCGTAATACAAACCTGGCATGCTCTCTCGGAGATACTCGATCAATTTTCGCGTTCCGCCTTCGGTGATCTTGTCGCGCTGGCCTTGCTCCAGGGGGTTGCCGTAGACACCAAGCACCTCCAACTTGTACAGGAATCCGAGTTCATAGCAGAGTGTCTGAATGTGGTTATTGAAGAGGAGAAGCTGTTTGAGGTTCGTGAGCATGCCGATCTCTTCGGGCAGTTCTGTCAATTGGTTGAACGAGACGTCGAGATGCTCGAGATTCTTCAATCGTCCAATCTCCGGGGGAAGCGATTCTAACTGATTATATACGAGATCGAGACGTTTCAGGAAATGGTACGACGGGTTGAAGAGCACGGGAGAGAGCGCGCAGAGACCTTGGCCGCCCAGATCTAGTTCATCCCAGGTCTGTCGGCTGGTGATCTGTCCATTCGACGTCGCAAGGCGGGCATTGTCTGTGTTGATGTCCTCCGCAGCCGCACCCAAAGGGACAAAATTGACGCCCTTTGAATGATGCGCCACCGTGCGCGCCCGCTGGTTTGGCCCGTTCAGATCTTTGCTTTCTTCCCAAAACTGTTTTTGCTCCCGCCAGTGTTCGTTGTCCAGCTCGTCCGCATCGTCGTGAGGCATCCCATTACCGTTGCCGTTGGGCAGATGCTCGTGAGCGTAGGTAGGTAGATGAGGAGTTGCCGACTGGAAGCCGCCAGAGGAGAGATTGTGCTGGTGACCCAACTGTCCACCGTGATGGTGCTGCGCATGGTGCTGGTTGACATTGTGGTGGGCATGGTGCGGCTGCTGGTACTTTGACAGATGCATATTTCCATAACGTTGATGATTCTGCGCTCCGTTCATCAGGCCGTGCTGTCCCTGGTATCCGTTCTGGGCATACATATTGAAGCTGTGGCCGAGCGAGTGATTTACGGGCGATCTCGATGGGGAAGGGGTGTCGTTGTTGAAAGGTCTCCGTGCGCCTGTCGGAGACGTGGGCCGGTTCTGGTTACGATGGTTGGCGTGCTGGGTAGGATAATATTGCCCGGCTCCAGGCTGATGGAACCGGAATGCACCATCTGCCATCTAACGAGGCAGGCAGGTACGGGCTATGTCTTTTCTCGGGGGTGAGGATCGAGGCGGAGGGGCTGGAACGGCGCTGTGCGTGATCGAGGGTCGGGCGGAGGAGAGGCACGGACGTCGTTTCTTGAACATGAGACCCGCGAGGAAGTCAGGCTCGAGTTGCGGCTGTCGCGGTGATGAGGATTGAGATATCCGGCACCGAAGCGTAAGATCTGGACAGTGCGAAGGTTGGGTGACGGCACGCTCGAGGACAGATGATCGGCTGGAAAAACACGGTTGGTGTGGTGGTGCGTCACTGTCTGGTGTCGCCGTCTCCGCGGTGATATTGGTGTGGGCGACTGACTGAATATTGACCTGGAGATACTGCGCAGGTAGTAATTAAGATGGTGAATGATGGTGTTGTTGGACTTGCGCTCTGCAGGAGAGGGAAGTCAGGGTGGGATAGGCACGCAGTAGCAAGTCGACAGTCCTGCAGTACGTCGTGCTTTGCACCGCTGTGACTGGCTGCTACTGGTTGCCTCCCGGGTGCCTCAGGTGCTTCAGGTGCGTACCTCGTCCCCCGTAGGGGTGCCCTGGGTACCTGGCACGCCCCCAATCCGCCCTTGCGGCACCCAGCCCACGCCTTGGCATCGTTTCAGCCCCTGCTTAACTGCAAGTCGTCTTCCTGACTTTATCCGGCAGACATCTACTGGGACGGCAACGATATGAGCGTACACAATCACTAACCCAGTCTTTCACACTCCCTCTGGGACTTTCAGTGCAAACAGTCAAGATATGTGCAAATCTCTCCTCTCACAAGACCTGGTCTTGTCCTTCTGACTACAGCTTGTCTACCTCTACCAGATCAGAATCCCTTCTTCTGTCCTGCTAGACCGCCAGTAGAAAGGAGCTGTCCCTTCTTGCATATGGCTTTTCTTTCCCAATGGCACGCCTGCCGTCACGGTTCGGTTCTGCCGACAGCGCTGGAGCCGGAGACAGCCAAAGGCAGACCTTTGCAACGTCCCAGATATCGTTAGGATCATGAATACCGTTGCTTCATCAACCGATATTTCTTCAAGAAGTACAGAGCTTCAATCTCCTTCTTGACATACTCGGCTCGCTGAATACCTTGCCGTATTTCATCCTCGTTCCTCAGATGTGCTTTCGACATGAACGCTTTATGCAGTCTGGGCCTGAAATAGTCGTAGCCCAAAGGATAGTGCTTGCCCATTTCCAAGAGCTCTAATTGCTAGTCAGGTGCCCTGCTGTCTCGGGTCTGGAGGGACAGAGTAGTGTTATACCTTTGTAGACATTGATTACTTGTCTCCTGAGCTCCGGATTCATCTTGTCAGCTCACGCTTCTGCGGGCATCCATAGTCCAGCAGGGACCTTGACGGTGTGACGGTGCTATGGAGTCGTACTTTACTGAGTGGTGATGCAGTGACGTCGGACACTTGCGCCAAGCCTTCGGCGAATACATTCGCCGCTGCCGACTCACTCTCGCTCTGTACGAGTATCGCTCCTGTGGATGGAAAAGCTCGATTGAATCCTCATATGAAGTTGAAATTAGCAAGCGAAGCTCTTGAAACTAAGCGAAGACTGAAGGACTCAATACGAAATTTGATTTGCTGGATGCGGATAGACGACCATCCGTGTTGTACTCTGTCTTCGACGGGGATGCTCACTGTGATACGTAGATGATGAGTTGGACAGTATCCAAGATGAGCTCTTGTCTGTCTACGAAGCAGATACGCGGCTTTGCCTCCCTAGCAGCACGGAAGGCCACGGGTAGACGTCTCATGGCTCAGTATGGTGAGCAAGGAGTGATCCCTCACGTTTGGCTTGGAGGAAGCGAGTCAGCTTCATAATGCGCCGATTTACGCGACCTCCCCCCCTCCCCGGGGGTCTCCAGCATGGTGTTCCACAATTATGTGCGTTGCGAAGTCAACTTTGATGTCGCGCTGGTAGATAGCCACCTCATCTGCATCGCCGAAAAGGGCTGCTACCTCCTCTAACGGTAGGCCGTTTGTCTCCGGAAACCAGAACCACACCACGACTGCGCCGATAGTACCAGGGACGATGAAGCAGAGGTATAATTTCCACCTGATGGTCTCGAATGCGGTGGGCGCTGTTGGTTCCGGTCAGCAGGCCGCTAACAGGAGGCGGTTGGGAGCACGACACGGCCGTCACGCGATATACCTCTAGAGCCAAATAATATTCATCGAGGAAATTATAGAAACTCCCAGACATAGACCCTTGGCACGCAGACGTGTCGGAAACAGCTCGTCCAGATACGAGAACTGGGTCCCATCCATACACAGCCCATAGAATACCTGAAACATAAAGAACATCGCAACTGCCGCCGAAAGCGCATCTCTGTTGTTAGAAGGCACCATGTTGGCCACCAGTGCAGCCTCCAAGATCAAGCTCAACTTACGGGAATAAAGAACAATCCGGCCAGCAGACACAACAGTCAGAAGCACTGAATCGCAACAGGGGGTCTCCAGGTATTAGTGCTGCCGCTCCGCCAGAAGTAGAACCTGAAGCCAATACATCCCTGTATGATGTAACCAAGCACCAACATAACACCATGGACGTCCACCGGAGCACCTCGAATATGAACCGGCACAATCTCATTCATGAGAATTGGCACAGCAGCGAGGATCATGAAGACCGCAGCTCCTGCCACAAACCTGAAGGCTATAAACACTCCAACATTCACAGATGCTGCCATCTTTGGGTTATAGCATATTAGCATCTTCTTTGGGACAGAGCTGGCAAAACGTTCCTCGAAACAGCGGACATGTGGAGAACGAAGTCTGAAGACAGCAACAAGAGCTCGACGGCAGAAGGAACATACGATAGCACCAGAAAGAATCTCTAGGGCGGCCGACTATGACTATGTTAGCAACGTGATGATATGGACTTGACCCTCGATTGCCTTACCACAGCGCACGCCCACTTGCGTACCCATTTGTCCGCAACCGTGGGCAGCAGCATTGCGCCTATCACACCGCCGGCTTGGACCGGGCCATTCATTGTCGATATCAGATCAGTCGCGTTCGAATGCGTGTCAAGATCGAAGTATTCAATGAATGATGCTTGCCCCGACAAGGGCTTTAGCTCGGAAAGTGTTGTCGACGAGCATCCATCACCAACCTAGCGTCGTTCCGATGATACTGGCTGTGTAGCCGTACGCCAATGAGCCGATCCCCTAGACAGCAAGCACCGCACAGGGTATGTACGTTGAGCTTCTGTCTGCGAAGAAGGCCTTCTCAGGCCGTGTCGCGATGCAATTTTCCTGGAATACGGCAGATACGTTGAAGAGAAAAACGAGAGCTCCGCCTCGGGTGAAGGCGAAGGAGAAGTTATAGACTGAGATCTGGAATTATGTAAAAATGTGGTGATTGTCGGTTCATCTCACTGTCCCATATCCGCGGCTCCGTCGTCCTCGCTGTCAGGGGCGGACGGACTGACGCCCGCTCTAGCAAGGCCAGTGCGTCTGTCGAAGCTTGAATCCCAGCTCCCCGAAGCCCGCGTTTATAACCATTGCTAACCCTAGAAGGAGTCTCCGGCTGATCCAACAGTTGAATGGCGATTGGTGCAGCAAATGATCAATAGACGCGTTGCCCTCGGGAGAGTCTTCCTGACTCGGATGTCTGAGAGTCGTAAGACGTTTGACCGGCATCGAGCCGAACGAGTCAAAGCGCCTCTGGGTGCTTTCACGCAGTCTTGAGCACGACTTGTCGTTTCGGTAAACGTTATTCCAGGCATAGAAATGAATGCGCTGGGCAGAGATCAATTCCGTGCGCAAATTGACCCAAGCCGGAATCCCGATATCGAGCCCAGTGGCAGGTTTGGGTGCTGGTGGGTTGCAAAAGTCGTGTGTCGTGGAAGAGGGAGCCGCGTTTGATATGTTCTTGGTCGAATAGGTCCGAGAAGGAAGTAGGATTTGCAATAGTCCGAGCAATAAGCCAGAAATCAATACTACAGGGGATGGAGAAGATATCCTATCATCAAGCAGCAGCCGTTTTGCTTCAGCCATGAAGATGGTGCCCGTATGTACGTGTGAAGGGTCGTCTTTTTGTTCATACAGCTGAATCGATTTGATGTCTAAAATCTCGCAAAGGTCTTGAAGTCTTGGGTCGGGGACCAGCTCAGAAGAATCGGCAAAGTGGGAGCGACCTCTCGGGCGGACTTCTATGAGGTGGTAGATACCGTACTCGAAGCGAAACTTGAGATATCTGGCTCGGATACCCATGTAGTCGTCATCATACCGGAGCACCTCGTTTCTTCAGTTCGGCGAGATATTGCTTCTTGACCGTAGAGTTTCCGAATTTGTAGGTTCCCTGATCCTCCATCCACTCAGCGACTTGCTTCCAGGGTATTTTGTTGGTAAATTGGCGAATGGCATCTGCATCAAGACCATGCCACGCCCCGAGAGAAATAGGATTCGAGTTCGAGAAGTGTGTAACGCCCTGCAACAGGAATTGGATCTGCGACGAGACAATGATTAGCATCTTCATGACCCAGCTACATCGACAAAGCTCACTCACGTCCCGCTCTCGCCACTCAGGCTTTCTGACACGTGCCTCTTTAGGCTTTATCAGGGTGCGATACCTCCCCCTGAGGGTCGATTCCGCTTCTTCGAACCCCCCAGTCTCCTTGATCTGCTTGTATGATTTCCCATCTTGACGCAGTCTCACCAGAAGCGCGTCTTTGGACGTGTCACGCTGTGCACATCTGACGCCTTGATGTCCACTCGGTGTCGTGGAAGCGCTGGTGAGGCCGGGCGTTGAGGAGACTGGAGTGCTGAAATCTTCCGGGTCAGGATATTGTGGCATATAGGGCGAAGGGAAAGATGCGTCAGCTCCGCGATATTGCGGTGTGGGAGAGATATAGTCCATTGTAAACGCCGGGGTCTCATCCAAGATCCCAAATTGACTGCCAGGGAACCCAGGTGACCCAGATAAAAACGGGTCGACCGACATTAAATTGTGGCTCATCGCATCTTGTGCTGATGCCAATCCAAGATCGACATCGGAAAGCTCGAGCCCTGACGTTGCTTGTACGTCTGCAGACGAGGTCAAAATATCCAGATGCTCCGCAGCATATCTCGGGAAGTCATAGTCCCAGTGCTCACCAGCATCATATGCCTTCTCGTCCATAACATTTGAAGCTGTTCGCTTGTTGTCCATCGAGGACTCGGCTTGAAAGGTCACATCTTGTGGTGCACATAATGATGTAGGTACGTTGCTGGGTGCCTGAAGCATGGCGTTGAGGTCCATGTCGTCGAAAGAGAGCTCAGGAGCCAAGGTAGGGTCGTTCACGAACGGGCTCTGGGTGGTGTGGCATGGGATTTCTGCCGGGGCCGTATGGCGTAACCAGCCCTCGAAGCCATCATTCCGTCCTTGCCAGAACATGGGAGTGCCATTGCTCGAAGTCGGACTGCGCATTTGCGTGTCCCGTAAACGGACAGATGCCGGTGAGGTCGCTTTGTCATCGATATGCACAGTGTTGCCAAACCTGCTTCCGTTTGCCATCCATGAATTGTACAAAGGGCTATTATTCGTTGACATTGTGTATGTATCGTCCTGCAAATTTAGACAGGAATCGTGGTTGGCACTAGAGCCGAGGAAGGCTGAAGGATCCAGCTTATGGCAAATCTCAGGGTGCTCCATGATCCTGTGGATGGAAGTGCGGTTTTGACAGTCTCGTGTGGGAGCAGCACTCCTATAAGTAGTCACCCGGGAATCTGAACATGGTGTTCCCGCAGAGTGACAAGTACAGGTTTTGTCAGAAGATACTGTTCGTGATGCATGACTGTTGTAGGTAGTGAAAGCATTCGACAGAGTCCTCGTGGGCAGGTGACTGGGAAAGGGAATAACATCATGAATGTGACGCCTCGGCCTTCGATCGACGCCTGTGTCGGTACATGTGTACAGGTAATTTGAGTCGAAGAGTCCAGGTGGCATCCTCAGAGATTTCCACACTGTGAAATGCAGTACGTGTCGAAGGAAGAAAGCGAGGGCGCCGACTGGTGAGCGAGCTGAAGTCGCCCAGGGCCATAGTCCGGGCAAGCAGGTGCGTTTTCATATCGAGTCACTGGCCGCTACAATCAGCGTCTGCTCCGTCAACTCCAGGGAAGGGCTCCCATCTTGTTCGTACTGCAAACAGACTCTTCCCACGGGTTCGGGAGCAAACTGGAGACCTTGAAGATTCCAACAAGAGGCTGCATATAAGGAGGCAAACTTAGCTGAGCAGCCGCAGACAGCTTCTGGCCCCCATACACAGGTCGATTGGCTTCAACCCAACAATAAATTTTTGCTCCAACCCTGCGAAACACTGACGGGCGAAGGTGTTGCACAGCTGCTCTTCGAGAATGGATGGGATTTCGCACCTTCCTCGCTTGACCGTGGTTTGTCGAGACCAATCAGTCTGTTGGCACGATCTGGACAAACCGACCGAAGCAGCCCAGCTTTGTCATCACGCTCTCTTCATCTTGTGTGCATGCTGCTCCGCGGCATGACGAAGAGCTTGCCGCGCATCAGGAGTATAGGGAGAAGGAAACAAGATGTCTTGACTGGGAAAGGCGACCGCATTCGACACAGTCGCGATGTGGCAGTGGTCCGCAATTTCGTCTCTGCTAGTTGCCACAGTCGAGAGCGGAAAACGAGAACTGACTATTTTCACAGAGCACGATTTGCGAAGATCCTATCCCGGTACAGGCATCAGCATCGGAAACCCACGATTGTAGACAGTCCTTCCTCGTTCTCGCAGAGCCACAGCGGTGACCGGATACCATTTGGAGCGAGGTAATCGTCGCGGAATCCACCCACCTGTGTTTAGACCAGGTTGGTGATATGCCGAAGGGGTCACCAGGCGGAAGATATGGGAAAATTCAAGCAAACATCAGGGGCATTGTGCTACGTTATTGGCGCGCTTTGCCGGATACAGTGAGCAGCTCTGGGATAGATCGCGGGTCCGCTTCTCTGTTGACGCATCTCGAGAGTTGTGTGTGCGAGGCAAAATCAGCATATTTGAAAGCCGCTTCAGATGTTCATGCGCAACCAAATATTAGGCACAGAGATTTCTGAATCGTACCTGTTCGCTGTATTGATGTGTCCGCGTCGTGGAGCTGTCATATTCGGGCGGCTGCAGCGGAACCAGGGACGCTTGTCATTTGATATTCGTTGAAGACCCGATCAACAACTGACTTCCTGTTGGTATGGCTCCCGGGGCGCGCCTAATCCGCTATGGGCATGTAAAATATGGTCGCGTGTAGCAGTTCGGTGCTTTCCATTGTGTCAAATCGTCCTACAGACGCGTTACTCTTCTATAACGTGGCTGCCACACCGATACTCCCTCAGCACTGGGCCCGTGAGTTTTCCGAAGCGTCGGCAGGCGTTACATCGCTCGGCTTTTGCTGTATCCGGCCTGCCCAAAGCACGCTGATCTGGGTGCTCGTATCACCGTGTCACCTACGATTTCTAGCAAAGAGGTGGTGGAGGAGAACTGGCATGGGAAATTGAGCTCTGCTCAAGGAGAGGAGAAGCGGTTCATTGAGCAGAGAGGTGGCGGTGCTGGGCTTTTGAGTATTGGAAGCATGGTCAGTGAATCAGAAGTGAAATGAGAGTCAGCTCAGTCCTCTCCGGATTTGTAAGAAAGCCAGATCGCCAAGAAGATGAGCCGAGGTTTTCCCACGACTTCTTGCAGAAACACTTCCAACTCGGGACCTTACGGTTTTCAGCGACGTCTACTGTGTGACCACCAGAGCCATACATAATGACAGATCTGGAGAGGATGCTTGGCCTCGCGGAGCCTCTACCGAAAACCGTGGCCCAAAAGTTCACGACCGCCTTTCACGCCAAGGATATCGTTTTCTCTCAGACAAGCCTCGCACATCTTCGTGCCAGAGGTGGAGCTTTAGTAAGTACGCAAATACAATACTCCACTTCAGATGATTACTGAATTCTTGGAAGTTTCAACTGCGCTACTGTCCGGCCCTGAAGAAGAAGCCGCAAGGGAATGATTCGGGCCCCAGACCGAAGTCAACCGGGACCAAGTTTGATCCTTTTGCGGCTCCGGCCCCAGAGCTTCTCATCGCTCAAATTCCAGTCCCAAGCGCATCTCATACATTAGTCCTGAACAAGTACCCGGTCATTCACAATCATTTCATCATCGCTACCAAGGACAACAAGCCCCAAACAGACCTTTTGGAAGAAGATGACCTGGGCCTTACCTATGCCTGTCTGCGCGCCTGGCAGACTCACCAGGACGAGGGACGCTCCTCACGCCTTTTTGCTTTCTTCAATTCTGGGGAGCACAGCGGGGCTAGCCAGGTGCACCGTCACTTGCAATTCCTTCCCGTCGAGGACATGGCGAGCTCTGACAACCCAGAATGGGGCCTTCTCATTGACCGCATGAACACCCGAGTTCACCCAACGATGCCACTGTTTCAGGATCCTCACTTACCGATCTTGCACTTCTCAACTCCACTGGAAGAAGGAGTCTCACCAGCAGAATTGCATAGCAAATATTTGTCGCTGATGAGAGCAGCTTTGGTCGCCATCCAACGTACTGACCAGCATGGGGATGGGGATCTAGCAGTGGAAAGGAACGGTCAAACGCTCCTCTCGTACAACCTTGCCATGACCACTGACAGGATGGCGATCTGTCCCCGTCGCCAAGAAGCAACAGCCATTCCTGGAGCTGGCGCAGAAAGTTCAGTGGCAATCAACGGCACTATTCTTGCAGGCACCCTCATGGTCAAGGACGAGACAGAATGGGATATTCTTCGCCAGGATCATGCCCTTCTTGACGAGCTCCTCCAAGCCATTGGTTATCCTTTAGCTCCGTCGCAATAACACAAAGCATGAGCAAAACTGGGAGGGTGACTGCGGACTCACCTGGCCCCTTTCAGCTTCTTTTCCATACGATACCCGAAGTCCTCGCGCATGGGCAAAATTTGGTCATGGTGTAGCGTCTTCCTCACAACCTTGTATAGGTTGATCCTCACCGTCGGCGGCTGACGCATTGTGAGGAAAACCCCAGTTGCCCGCAACCGCTACGCCTGAAGTCAGCCTGAGCAGCAGGACACCCTCCTCCAGCATCAAATACCAAGATCGTTAGTGAAGAACCAAGAAAAACAACATTTACGAGGTGACTTATGAGGATTCTGGAATGCAAGACAAATTCGAAGCTTGATTTGAGTCGGTGACAAAAGGGTCAGAGGGCGGTAGCCTGGTCAATGCCTCTTTGGTAACCACAGGAAAAGCACCTTTGCAAGCATTGCTTCAGCATACACTTCGATGCCAAGAGGTAGATACGGACTAAGAGAGGCCTGCAATGGGGCATGCCTGACCGCATGTCGAACTCAGAGACAACGCCATGGCGAGAGAGTGCACTTTCACGTTAGGCTGTACGGATCGAGGGCATGGGACGACAGGGAGCGGACCCGACACAGTCAATCGCAGATAGAGTATAGCAACGCCTGCCGAAGCCGCAAGCTGTGGACCGCAGTCGAGCAGCCACAAGTCGCACCGAACTGGGGAGGAACGAGACCGATCCAAGCAGTCCAGACCCCGAAATCCTCGCTTGTTGCGCAAGCCACCATTTACCCATGCTGCGGGTTCCGAGGGAAAGTTCTTGACTGGGAAGCTCCGGTGAGGTGGGCAGGAGAAGAGGCGAAGGCGGCCAACACGAGAGATGGGACGGGGCAAGAGACGGTTGGTTCACGCCCGTAGGGCTGCATATTGGGAATCGCTGGGGTTGGGCGCGGGGTTCCGAACCAATTCGTGTTGGAAAGTGACCGTCTCTGGCAATTTAGGGTCAACTGAGTTTGTCCAAGCTTCTTGCCCCAATACGAGCTCTTCAGGATGCTTGCAGTTGGCACTAACCGCGCAAGTGGACAGCGTCTCGCCCGCAGCCATTGCGTCTCAATCTGTCGTACCCGTCGCATTGGGGATTCTCGACTCATCTACTTCGGGAAGCTGTCCTTGCTTACCTACTGGAATTGCTCTGTTTGGGTTGACGTCCTGCGAGGTTCTGCAGTCCTGCGTGCCAGGATCTGCAGGAGCCAGGGAGCTCAGCCAGCCTCGATTGACTTTTCGGCTATCAAATGAAAGCATGTGATTTCTCAGCCTTTAAGCATATTCCGACAACCGAATCTGGAATGGCCTCGTCACGATCCAGACCCTTTCAGATCACGACCTCAGGCTCCGGCCCTCTTGTTTCAGTCAATGGGATAACCATACCGGCTCGAAAGAGCAAATTGAGGATTGCGATCAAAGACCACTCGGCCAATTGACAGCGAAGGGGCCCGGGAAGCTTCCTTGGTACTTCACTTCGATACTTCTGGGGGTCACTTTCGATTTATCTGCATGTTAGGCACATAGCTCCGTGGGTATTTTCGGTGCCTCGCGGGTGATGGAATAGGTTGGTTCCACGTATCCAGGCACCCGTAACGTGTTTCGAGAGATCCCAATTGATTGGGTCCAGGGGGTGAAGCGAAGGCTGTCGAACTCGGGCGGTCTGGAGAGTCGCTGCAGTCGACGAACGTGCAATAAAGCGACGCGGTTTTGGGGGGAAATGGAGGGGGTGCACGACTGATTGGATGGAGGCCACGATCCCAGACCGATTCTTTTAAGCGACATGCAGAGCCAGAAAATGGGCTGGCGGAACAAAGCGGACTTTGACAGATCACCGTATAGAGATTGTATCGAAACATCTCGTGCTTCTGGACAAGTGCATCGGTGAAGGTGTCTGCTCTTTCATCTTGCAGTTGGCGTATCGCGTAAAAGTTTCAGGCCAGAGCGCAATAACTTCCCCACCAGGCACCACCAGGCATACTTGGCGCCCAAAGCCTTGGATGAGCGATCAAATCGTGACAATGAGAAAGACCCATAATGGTATCCTGCATCAATCACGCAAGGTCGGGTTCCCAGCAGTTGGGGGCTATCGACAGCTGCAGCCCTATGAGGGGCGCATCATCAGAGTCTCGTGTAGCAACAATCTGGACTTCGTGTTCTGAAGATGCATTCGGGGGCCAGAGAGTTGCTCGGAGCTCGATTGGGCCCCGGGCCTACAAAGCAACAACGATACAACGGCGAAAGGGTGATCGGTGCCCGGGAACAACCAGGCTTTGTGCCACATGGACTGGTCGTATCGGACATGGGTTGACTGCGAGCCAGGGAAACAAGGGGGTGAACGATGCGTGACTCTTGTGGATGCAGGGCATGGGGAGGAAGGCCAGGGAGGCTCATGCCAAACTATGGGGTCCGTCCTTTTGACGAGTCGACCACCACTTTTACGAAGCAGGAGGTTAGTCCTTTTCTCGCGTGCTGTTTGCGGCCTAGCCTCCCCTTCCGCCGTCCGGGCTCGCCGTTTGGAGGGGTCAGAGGGGCTTGCGTTTCAAGCGGCTCCAGCATGTTGCAAGGGCGCGCAAGGGCCGACGACCCCGAGTCGTGTACACGCACGTAGCTCATTAGTGCTATGGTAGTGTCTATTACTGACGGATGAGCATTTGGCTTGGTGCTGTAGACGTGTAATGTAGGCTTCAGTTCGGAGATCACTGTTCACCCAGTTCGGTGGATGCATTTCGATGCGTGTCAATCAGCAAATGAATCCTGCCTGACTCAACACTGAAGCAGCCTTCGCATCTGCTCTGTCCCTCTTTCGCGTGGGCTAGGAATGGAGGTATGGTGAAATACGGAGTGCAGTATACAGCGAAATCTGCCTTGTGATTTTCTTCAAACACCAATCACTCGTCACCGCTCGGTGCTCACCACGCCTGCAACGTATTCAGTACGAAACCCGTAGCCCGCATCGGTGAGCGTGCTTTGCGATGACCAATTCGCCAGTGACTGGGTCATCGAACCCAAGTCGTCATACCCAGAAGATGTCACCGTGCTCCTGCTCGCTGCATAGAAGTCGGTGACTGTGGATATTGCGCATGTCATCGCAAACGGGGTCACAGCCATCTTGCGGTGTGTCTATTTTCGCACTGTGGCTCAGTAAGTAGAAGAGCGAATCAGGAGCGCTGTCACCGCCACTAAATGACCCTGCGCCATCACCCAAGAGCATAGACTGGCGACCCCGAGCGCTTGAAGCCAATCAAGGGGCCTGGTGCAGTGGGGGACGCTTAGTAGCCACGTTTTCTGGCAGGGGAGCAGACCGCATCTGCACGATGGCGCCAATCGCATCGGCCTTCGCCTACACCAGCACCGTGTTACGCCTGTTCTGGGAAAGCGTTTCAACTGCTGGCCGCAGTAGCAGCAAGCGAAGAGGTTGTGTCACCACCCACAAAGGTGGTTTTCATGGTTGGGCCCGTTCTCTGTTTGGCGTCTTCTGCTGCCCTTATCGCTCAAACCGGAAAACCCAAACCACACAATTCGCTTCCGGTCCACTCGAATGGAGTGTCAGTCCCCAGACGCGAGCATGTCGTCCAGAACCCACTCTTCCAAATCTAGCATCTCGAGCCTAATCCCTGCCACTTTGACATTTCCGCTGTTTGGTGCTGTGAGGAGAATATGACGATACGTCTCTTGTGACTTGTCCACCACGTTTCGACCGCGAGGCGGCACGGACTCTCGTTTGCGCATTCCGGGGAATTGATCTCCTGGTAGCGACACCTCCTCCAAACGACTGCTACCAAGGACAGGGTAGTGCACTGTGTAGTCCGGCCTGATGTTACGATGCTTCTCGGGGTCGTGAATGGCTTGCTGGAAGAGAGCATGAGCCAACTAAATCCGGTGTACTTTTGCTCTCATTCGATGCTCACTGTACGACGGAGAGGGACCGGAAAAACATGCGCTCCGTGCTGCTTCCAGTCACGTACGAGATGGGCTCTACAGCCACCGCCGGGCCCGAGAGACATGTCCGCCTCTGTAATTTGGCCATTGCCGGCAGCGATTGGACCGGCACCGACATCCAACGCTCCGGTGAGCCTTGAGGCGTTTATTGCATGGGCAGCAGGATGGTTGTTGATAACGAGTCATCAAGGGACAAATCCATCAGGATGCGCTCTCTGTGCTGGGGTGTTTCTGGGTTAGGCCACCTAGGAGGTATTGTGTAATACACCAAGCCTCCGTACGGGCTAATGCAAGTGCTAGCGAACTAGTCCTCGGACGACGCGGTGAGGCACTGCTCTCTTCCAAAGTTTTAGCCTTCCAGGGGTTGTGTCCTCAGACCCTGGCCCTGGTCCGAGCCCATAGGGCTAACCATCCAGTTTGTGGGAACGCTTTGGCTTATCCGTGATCTTTGGGACTTTGGTCAGTCTGATTTCGGCAAGACCCTTTGCTTCATCAAAGACTATAACTCGCGGTGATTTCGCCCCCCCATCTTCAGCCGGAGACTCACTTTGTAGAACTGCTCTTGACTCTCCCTCTCATAACAGCTCGCCGTTGCCTTCGATAGTCAACGAAACCTCCTGACAACAGCTTGCCTGGACGGTTCCCGACGATAGCAGCCCGCGACACCTCAGCGACGTACCCGTTCACCATCGGCTCCCTCCCTCGGCACCGTCTCCTCCCGCACACCCTTCTTGCTACTTCCAGTATTGATCGACACGATTCAGCAAGCCTCATCAATAACTCGTGTTGACCAACCACGGGCGTAAAGCATCTAGGCCCTACGGTCCGTATCCTCGGTGTCTATCGATAACGCTTCCGGACCATCAAGAGACCTAGAACATCCTCATCTACGCGCCATTCGACGCCTTCTTTGGCCCCGCGCAACTCCTCTGAAGACAGTGCTGGCCCATAAGCCTGACCACATCCTCCGAGAGTCGGCCTCCAGCAGGATCTATTTCTCACAGACGTCCACCACTTGCCCATCAATAACCTCATGCAGTGCCATTGAGTCCAGT